CATTAGTCACATGATGACGTATTTACAGGGCTGTTCGAGCCCCTTCTGTTCCTTTGATCTGCCTTTACTCGCAGCCTCACTGTTTCAACTGCTATAACTTCGTCAGGAAGGGGCTCTGGGTCAGCTTGAGCATGGCTCTGGCAGGCCCTGCCCTTCCCTCCCACCCTCTGCCTCACTTCTAAAGCTAGCTACCAATGTCTATTTCCTTATTTGGCTCATGAGGCTGATTAACAAGGTTCAGCTATCAAAGTATTGAAGGCCAGCAATCAAATGCCCCCCTCTGGCTCACTTAATTAACATGCCTAATTAAAATTAAACACCTCATCCCAACAAAGGGTTTCTCCCTTTACCTACCTTTATAAACTGCCCTTCGCCCACGGGCCACATCTGTCTCCTCTCTATCCAGAGGCAGTCCTCAGGGGCAAATAAATATCCTGCCCCCTTTCCTTGTTCCCTTCCCTTTCTCCATCCTCTATCACTTGTCTTTGTCTCTTATCTCCTGCCCTTTGTCCCTCCAGGCCAAATAAATCTTTGTGCTGAGGACTTGGTCACTTTTCCTTTCATGCAATAAGTCATATGACAACCTGGAAATTTTTCCTTCTTCAAGGTTGTAACTCCAAAAACTGTAAGTGTGCCTTGTGGGAAAGAATGCTTGTCTAGAATGCATGAAGCTTCAACCCTCACACACACACACACGCACACGCACACACGCACACATGTGCACACACGCAAACACGCATGCACACCTACCACTCCAGATCCTTCAAATGCTTAGATCTAACTTAGAATCTGCTTGCCGGATCTGTGCTGCACAGTCCTACCCTTCAAACAGAAACGCCATCTTTATACTGTCCAGAGTGTACTCAGGAAAGTTCATCCCAGCTGGGCTTGACTACTGACTTCCCCACACGGGAGGGGCAGGGCTAGTCACCCACCCTCTGCTGACTATCCAGCCACTCCTCCCAGTTGCATGAAATTCTGCCCTAAAAGAACTCGGTTTTAGGACTTCAGGGAGGAGCTAGAACATATAGGTTTGGGGGTGTTGAGAGGGGCTCCATCTGCGCAGGTGTGGGAAGCCAGCATCCACGCTGAGTGCAAAGCCTCCTGTGTGCTGCTAACCATTACCCACTCTTGACACACCCCACACTCATTGGTTTCTCTGGATGAACTCTGGGGAATCAAACCGTCATTTAGGAGCTTATGAGGACAGGGTAAGAAAATGCTTAGTTATCATTGTTATCGCCTCCCTCCCACCCAACTCACCCTCCACTCTACCCTATTGACCCCCCACCCACACCCACACACATCATAGGAAAATTCTTACAATAGCCTATGAAAAAAGTTAACTTGGATTCTGGGAAGCTTGCATTCACTTTCATCAACATTCTCATCAGTGGAAACTGTTTACTTAGCTCTCTAACTCTTCTTAGCAAGACTTTGTAGCTGGGTCGAACACCTATACAACTTGCCTTACAATTATTCCTGCAGCTTTCTTCCTGCCATTTAAGTGTTTCTCTTCCCAGCTGTCCGCTGCTAGTGTATAGAAACAAAGGGTATTTTGTATCTACTTAGTATCAGAGCTTGGACAAATGTGCTGGCTAGTTCTGAGAAGCCTTGAGACTAATGACCTTGTAGGAGCAGCTGAAGCCATCACGTGCCTCCGTTTTGCCGTTCCCTGCCATTCACTGTTTGAGGACCTGGCTGTGAAGGTGCCATCGTGGGAGCAGGGACTGGGTGCTCGTCGGACACAGAATCTGATGCTACCTTGGCTTTCTAGTTTCCAGACCCATAATTACCCAGCCTGTGCTTTAAAACAGACAAGGAACAGATCCCAGACTCCTGCAGCAGCATTACAGAATTCACATGTAACCAACCAGGTTCCTCTTCTTCCAACCTTTGGAACTTAGTTCTTCCGTGGTCCTCTGTGCACTCTCCGCCTGACTAGTGCAAAACTGAACAGAAGAGGTGGTAACAGTCCCTTTGTTTTGGTCATGAACTTGAGTGGGAAACCTTAGCTGGTTCATCATTATGACAAATATTGCTAGCAGATTTCCAAAAGGACAGCTTGTCAGATTAGAGCAATTCCACTTTAATTCAGATATTCCAAGAGTGAGTCCAGAAGATGAATTTTAAAATGTTTGGAATGCACCAATGAAAATGGCCACATGGGGTTTAATCCTTTACTTCATTGCCAGATTAAAGCCTGTGGTGGCCCCTATGAGTGGATCTCTGAGTCTAAAGCCAGCCTGGTCTACTTAGCAAGCTCCAGGTCTATATCCCAAGCTACACAGTGAGACCCTGTCTCAAAACATCAAAAATTAATAAAGCATACTCTCTGACTTTAAATCTGTAAATACTAAACTGATCTTTACATTTCCATAATTAACTCAACCTGGCCCATGATTTCTTAGCCTTCCAATATAGTCCTGGTCTTTCTTCGTTAATACTCAATTAGTATTCTTCTAGCTATGTTCTTAAATATAAGAGTCCCCCAATTCTCCACACGTCATTAGCTAAGGACTTTGGGTATTTTCTACTCCTCTATTTTCCTGGATGCCTTTGGTACTGTGAGGGTTAATCTCTGTCAATTTAACCAGATTAAAAGCAGCTAGGAATCACACCGCTGGGTATGTCTGTGAGGATGTTTACAGAGGTTTAATTGAGGTAGGATGCCCATCCCATGCAGGGGGTTCCGGACTGAGTAAACAGAAGTCAGCCGGGCACCAGTATCCATCCATCTCTCCTTGTTTCCAGGGAATGCACTGAGCAGCTCAGTGTGAGCAGCTGCCTCCACTGCCTGCCCCAGGCCTTCCCCACCAGGATGGGCTGTAGCTGCATCCTCAAACTGTGAGGCCCAATAGGCTTCCTTCCTTGAGCATCTTTCCTGGAACTAGCTCTGTAAACCAGGCTGGCCCCGAACTCACAGATATTGGCCTGTCTCTGCCTCCTGAGTGTTGGGATTAAAGGCGTGCGGCCACCACCGCTGGGCCCTTGAGGGACATTTTATCACGTATTTGATTTTAGCACTGAGGCAAGTCGCTGATGCAACCAGGATTCATTTCATTTCCTCCTTAAATATTTGAAATTTGAAAGCCTTTCCTGTTGGGGCACCAGGTCCAGGTTCTTCTGCATGTGAAAGTACCATGAGCTAGTGGCCGCCAGTTCCTCTAAATACATCTCATCTGTTGGTCCACACAACCCAGAGTGTCTTCAATGTCAGCCCTTCACTGTCCCTCAGTTCACCCCCGTGACTTATAGTTAGCCATGTTTCCCTTCATCCATATTGTCGGTACTGAATCAATTTATCAATTTTAATTAATTTCTGAACTTCTTGATTTCTTTATTGGTTTTTGTCTTCAGTAATTCTTATTCTTTATAGTTTTCCTTGCTCTACTTTCTGGGAGGTTAAATTATTATTATTATCATCATCATCATTATCATAGTGTGTTTTATGACATATGTATTTGAGTGTATGGGAATGAATGTGTCATGGCATGTGTGTAGGGTCAGAAGACAACTTATAGGAGTCAGTTTTCTCCTCCCACCAAGGGTTCCTGGGATCTAACTGGGATCATCGGGCTTGCACAGCCAGCACGTTACCCAATTCAATTGTCTGTCTGTCTGTCCTCCTTCCTGATAAAGCAGCTCGGATGGCTGATTTCCGGCATTTCTTTCATCTGCAGTGTGTTTTGCCCTGTGGGTTGATGTGGTACCAGCAGTCCACACATTGTGAAGTACAGCAGACTTTTGATAAGGGTTATGTGATGTATATCCTTCCCAAAGAGGACCCCTGTAGGCTGTCTACAAGTCCCACCACTAGCTCAGAGAGATTTTTCACCAACTCTAACTACAGGGCTGTCTCTTCCTCCTCTTAGTCTTCAAAATATTTCCTTTTACACACTTTAGGCTTTCCTGAACAACCCTTTACTGCTAAGTACTGCCCTTGTTTAGGACCAGTGTGACCTCCTGACTGAGAGCCTTTATGTCTACAGAAGCAGGCTGGCTACACTCAAGGTCACTGCCAGCATGGCGTCTCCCTGCCCTTTCACGTTCCACCTAACACAGCCCTCAGCTTTCACGGTGGCTCTTCTAAACATCACCACCTCATGCAGTCTGAGAATCTCAGCTAGCTGGGGAGGCTGCCCAGGGTCTTGATGGACACACAGCTGTCCATCACAGTCCCATACATGTACAGAGCACTGTCTCCTGTATCTTCTAGGACTGTGGGAGATGCCCCTATGCCTTGTGGGCCCCCACTGGCCTTCCATATCCTTCTGGGCTCAGGAGAATATTACCAGTCTACGGCCATACTACCCTGCAGTGCCTGATTTCATTTAATCTCAGAAGCTAATCAGGGTTAGGCCTGATTAGTGCTTGGGCGAGAGAACAGTATTCGCAGAGTTAGCTAACCCAGTTTGCAGACTGCTCCTTCCTGTAACCATTGAGATGACTCAAAGTTCCACTCATCTCTTAACCTCTAGTGGGGTCAATGCCTAGGGAACACAGACTAGAGCTGGTGGTGACCGCTATTAGCTCAGTGAAGTCTCCTCCTTCCCTCAGAAATGCGAGTCATCTTCACTTAACAGCCTTCACCCCAACCACCCCATTTTTAAAAATTCCAATACTTTGCACTTCACAATTCCCTGTTGCAGGTCTGGGTCTTACCCAGATGTAGCGTCCACTCCCAGTTCGGGTGAATGAAAAAGAGCTGCACCTTCAGCCGTGCCTCTACAGCCACCGAGGTCCTCTCTTACAGCCCGCCCCCCCCCCCCCAACCATCCTCCATCCGCAAGCCCCACTACAAGAGACAAGGAAAACTGCTCCTGACAGTTTGTAGATCTGCCCAGAACCATGCCGCAGGAGAGACCCGCCATGCTAAGCCTACAAGCACCGCGGGGAGAGCCAGGACTTTGTGAATACCCAGTACCTCCAACCGTGCCTGGAGCAAATAAACCGCCAGGTGCCTGAGAGAAAGTGTTGTGGCGAGAGACGCCACGTACCAGTCTGCGGATGTCACGTTCACACTCCCGCTTGATGCGGTGCACCTCATCCTGGTGTGCCTGGTAGGCAGCGCGCAGGTCAGCGGCCTTGGCCTTGTCGGCTTGCATGCAGTTGCTAAGTGCCTCCTCCGCCTGTTTGCGAGCCGCCTTCAGCTCCAGGATCTCCTGTTGCAGCCGCTGGCGCTCGCCATCAAAGGTCCTGCGCGCCTCCTCGCGCGCCTCGGCCAGCAGTGCGGTCTTGACTTTGTCTGCGGCGCCATCGCGCAGCACGTTCAGGGTGGCCTGCAGCCGCTGCAGCTCGCCTTCCTTGATCTTGGCTGTCCGAGCTGCCTCTTGCTCGTGCTGCCGGATGAGCGCCTCACGCAGCGCCTGCAGCTCCTTCGTTTTTTCCTCGTGAAGTTTGGCCTTGAGCTCCGAGATGTAGGCTGTGTGGCGCCGCTGCTCCTGCTCGCGCTCCAGTTTGGCCTCCTGCAGGCGCTCCCGCAGCTTGCCCACCTGCCACCAGAGCAGGAACAGGGGTTAGGGGCAGACCTGCACTTTTCCAGTCTCCGCCCTCTAACTCCCCCCTGTAGGCCACACCCACTGTTCTCTAACTCCCCGTTCTTTACCCCAACTTCATCCAGATCTTCCTTCCCAGTTGTTTTATGATTTTCCCTGAAAAGCCAAACATTGAAGACCTTTCAGTGCTGAACTGTATCAGAAAGGACAAGAAACTACAGACAGCTGGTACAGAAACCGTCTCTCACCAAAGCCAGGACGATTCCAAACGGTAAAGTGTTTCTAGAATCAGAGCCCAGAGCCACCCAAAGGGGCAGGGTGGAGCCCTAACATAAGGGCTGGGTTACTGCCATCCAGCTAAGGATCCACACTTAGGAAGGTGGGCTCACCTTAAGCCATTCTAAAGAGATGGGTGGGATAATTATTTTTTTAATGAAATTCCTTCCCAGAATTCCCACTCCTAGCACAGAAGCTCATAGTTGGCAACTCCATAGAGATGCTGCCAGTGTGCCCACTGTCCTGTAATGTTTTGGGCTTCCCTCCCTACCATGTGACTATCGGTCAGCTTGTATCTGACCTCCTCACCAGCAAGGTTTTTTGCCCTTCTCTCCTCCACTGGCAGCAGACGAAGTTTACAGCTCACCTGACGAGGGGATTTTCTTTTATAAACAATCCGGTGCCTCCATTTGTCCGTTCTTAAATTCTTTTATTAATAAGACTAAGAAACCCCCACAGTGGGACCCTCTGTGTATACATCTGTGTGTGTATCTTGTGTGTGCATCTATATATGTCTTATTTGTGTGTACCTTGTGTGTGCATGTGTGTATCTTGTGTGTGCATCTGTGTGTGTGCATGTGTGTATCTGTGTGTGTGTATCTTGTGTGTGCATCTATGTGTGTGTTTGTGTGCATATCTTGTGTGTACATCTGTGTGTGTCTCTGTGTGTTTGTGTGTGCATGTGTGTATCTTGTGTGTGCATCTATGTGTGTATGCATGTGTGTGTTAATTATAAAGGTTGAGCCATTCAAGGAACCTGGCCCCAGGACCTGTGCTCAGCCTGAGTATGCTGGGTAAGTCTGGTCTGCAAACCTTTTACATGGCCTGTAGTAAAATGCACCTACGAAGTGATTTCTTAAGTGAGTCAAATAGCCCAGAAAACACACTGCACATCAGAATACCTGTGGGATTCTGTAACAGTGGGTACCAAAGCACTGAGACAAACTGCCTCAGCCATCCAGACTTCTGAAGAAAACAGCAATGTCTTCCCCAGACCACAAGATTTATAGGCAAATAGGGGGAATTAAGTGAGTCTTATGACATCATCTCAGTACTGGCACATCCGTCCATTGACAGCCAGGAAAGAAGCAAATGACAGTCCTGAGGCAGATGTAGGAGACCAGTATCTCCTGACATCACACGCAACCACGGAAACAACACCGGATGCCAGTCATCGCTGGTCACCTCCCCCAGGGCTGGAACTGGAGTTATCATGGTGAATTAGTGCCAGGATGTCATGACTCAAACAGTTCACAGATGACTCTAAATGCAAGGAACACGGGTGCTGAGCCAGGACTGCTGTCCCGGCCATGTCTGCCTCAGACAACTGTGGGGTGTCAGGCCTCACAGACTGGGTTTAGAGTCATCTTGGTGATGGCGACGAGCACATCTAGACATGATTGCAATGGCACTTCCAGAGAAAACTAAACGAGGGGAGAAAGGCAGCCCTGAATGGGGGTGGCACCATCCCATAGGCTATGGGCCAGGATGGAACAAAGGGGGACAGGAGAATGCCGCCTGAGCATCACGCTTTTCTCTGCTTCCTGGCTGCCACTCTGCTCAGCTACACCTTCCCCGCTATAATGTACAAAACCCTCTAAAGTCAGAAGAGTCAAGAAAGATGTTTCTCTCTTCAGTGGTGTCTGTCCAGTGTTGACATAACTGTTAAAAAGATACACCTAAAATTGACACAAGAAGTAGAGTCATTGCTAAGACTACACCTGAGTACATAGTTCTCAGGGCTGGGACTGGTCTCGGGGAGGAATGTGGACGAGTTTGGGATGTGGGCTAGAAAAGGTCTAGAGGGCTGCAAGCAGAGCTCAGTGGTGGTTCTGGCAGGAGGTCGGGACAGAGCCGGGCAGTAAAGACTGACTGCTGGGGACTTTGGATGGGAAGAACGGTTTTGAGCCCTGGACTACAGGTCATTCAAGATACCATCTGGAAATTTCTGGTTTTCTATGGAAATATGGAGTAAGAATCAGAGGAAAATGTGAAAAGCAATTGTTTGGGTGGAAAAGGAGACAGCTGAACTTTATAGACAGGAGGGTATGGTGGTTAGAGACGGCTGCTACCATTAACGAGGAACCAAGCACTTAATACCATGTATAGAAGGAGTTGGTCACTAAGAGACTACAGTACCCATGGCTCCAGGTTTGCTCCAACTAGAAGCCGACCTTGGCACTGTCCACTAACATCGGTATTACAGGCATGTAGAATACTAGAGTTACAGTGTCATGGTAGGTGTCCACCTAGATTTTTAAGGGAAGTCTGAGGAGTCAGGCAATGTGAAGTAAGATGAGAGTCCCTTTAAGAAACCACTATGCCAGCAATGCGTGGCACTTGAGAGTAAAGCCTAAGCCACAGTACAAATATCAGGATGTTGGAGACGCCAGGAATGGGGAGCAGCTTCTGAAGAAAGCTGTAGACAAGGGAAGCCAGCCCAGGCAGGACACAGCTCACAGGAGCTACAGATGACAAGGCCATGGGGGTAGGGTTGCCCAAGGTCGTCAGAGCTCACACCATGACACCACGTGTTAGTCACGGAGCTACAAGATTTCGTGTTTGCGCCTCAGAGGTTCAGTCTGTTATGCTTTGTTCCCACAGCTCCTCTCATGGCCCTGGTCCATTATATTTTGGCAACATGTAAGTTTGTTTTATTTTTACAAGGTTTCATAGCTAAGAGATTGCCTTGAGTCTCAGCAGAGACTTTGAACTTTAAACAGTGTTGGAAGTGTTATGATTCTGGGGACTTGTGGACATAGGCTGAATGTATTTTACATTCTGAGATGGCCATGAATAGCGTTTTGGGGTCCAAGGTGGAATGTTAGGGTTTAAAGAGAGCTGACAAAGGGTAGGCTTAACCATCAACGGGACTGGGTTTAGACTCAGCCTGTCAGGTGCCAGACCAGGTGGGGAAGACCCACCCAGCAGCTGGGGCCACCGTCACGTGGGCTGGGGGCCTAGATGGAATGAGAGGGAAAAGGAGAACTTCAGCTAGGCTCTGGCAAGCCTCCTTTTTCTGCTTCCCTGACATGAACTATGGACTATTCTCTGCCACACCTCCCCTGCCATGATGGGCGGGTCCTCTGAAAAGGTGGGTCAGAATAAACCTGTCCTTCTCTCCCCGCCCCCAGGCCATTTCAGCCAGAATCTTTGTTTTCCCAGCAGAGAAGAGGAACTAACATAACACAGGGGGCTTCAGCTCTGGGACTTTGTGAGCTTCAGAGAACCTGGCTCACCCCACAGCTGGAGGAGGGGCCTTCCCTCAGGCAAGAAAGCTTGTTACTGCTGCAGTGAAAAACCTGTAACTGGACCTTGCTAGACCTGGAAGCAGTGTTGTGATTGGTAGAAATTATTAATACCACATTTGCATGTCACTCTCAGCCACACCCTCTCCAGGGCACGAGCAGGCTGTAACATTTTTTTTGACCCAGCAGGACACACCCTTCTGTGCTGCCCCCTGGTGTTCGAAGAGGTTATCCTGAGACGTCTTGTCTACCTTTGCACTTCCCTGTGGGTAGGGCAGGTGGTGTAGGTAAGGGTGGCAGCAGAGGTGGTGGCAGTGGTACCACCAGAATCAAGAAGCCAGCAGAATCACAGAGAGGGACCGGGCAAAGACTGCAGGGAGTAAAATAAGGAGACAGCTCAGGACAGTGGAAGCCCAGAGAAGAAGGAAAGTCAAGACAGCAGAGGTGATAGGCTTCAAGGGTCAAAGGCCAGAGCTGCTGTCAGCATTCAAGGAACTGTCAAGTCCAAAGATCTAAGGGTCCCGACATCCAAGACCTAGGAGCTGTGTAAGAGCCCCGGGTCCTGACACTCAAGGCTGGGGAGCAGAGTCCTATTCACATTACCTCAGACTTGGGGGCCTTTTCAGGCTTAGTGTTCTACCCTGCCAGCCGTATGCCCATCTCACCCCGTCCCCAGCTGTTACTGGGGTTGTTTGTGTGGGCTGTTGAACATTTGAGGCAGTGTGAGTCTGTTTGCTTCGTCTCCAGTCAGCAAACTCTTTGGGGCCCGCTCGAAGATGGTCAAGAAGCCTTCACAGGCCCAGCTTGTCCTGCGCGTGCTGAGACCTCTGACGTGCCGAGCACTAGCTCCTGCATGCCTCTACACCACCAGTTGAGGGAAGGGGCTGCCTCTGAGTCACCTCATGGCAAATGCAGGCCACCCAACTCACAACAGGCCGCTGCAGTACATGTGCAGGTCCCTCACTGAATGAATGGGGGAATGAACATTTGCTCCCACATTCCTTTTTCACCCTCAAGCCTTTGATGCCTCCTCTGCTAGCGTAAGGACACTATTAGCACGGCCTTGCCCGTTAGTATGACGTCATGTTCAATGACTCCTTAATTGGGCTTTCCATGCTAGCCTGGGGGATGCTCTGCTGAGTTCCCTGAGAACAGAACTCATCCCAGTGACTGGACAGGCAAAGTCCTATGGAGACTGCAGGGTGAGGCAGGAGGAGACAGCAGCACGGACATGGCTAGGCTGAGAGCTCCACAAGTCCCAGAGCTGAGAGCACCCTTGTGTCAGGAGACTCTCGTGGGTCTGTAATCCACACTGCGGCACCTGCGAGACCAGGCTAATCTGGTGTGGGCACTCAGTAATACCTCCCAGAACAGATGCGCTAACGTTCTAAACACTGGGGCGTTAGGATAAGCATTAGATTAGTGACAGGACATATAATGAGATCCGTATGAACTAGGACATTATTCTGGGTCCAAATCCCATTTGTGATGGCTAATGTTAACACCAACCTGGTAGATGTTCGAGTCACCTGAAGATGGGCCTCTGGGCATGTCTGGGAGGAATTATCTCAGTTACATTAATCGATATGGGAAGTCCATTCTGCGGTAAGGAGCACCCTGGGCAGGGTGTCCAGGGCTGCATAAAAATGGAGAGAGCAAGCTGAACACTGACTCTGACTAACTTCTCTCTGCTTCTGATTGTGAGGGCGCTGTGACCAACTCCCCAAGGATCCATTGTGCAGCTGAGAGAGCTCAGACCCTCCCATGCCACAGCCACAGCAAAGGTTATGGCAGTGGGACTTTCCCCTGTAGCTGTTCTATCAGACACTGGGGACAGCCTTGAACTAGAACATCACCTGCGGGCTCAGAACAAGGCCCGGGAGACTTTAAATCCCTCTTAAGTCAGTGACATCATCAAGATCAGGAAGCCAGTCTGGCTGAACCAAGGAGAAAGGCCACCAGGTCTGTGACTTAGAAAGCTGGAGCCTCCCCACAGTGCTGGGTTGACATCGGTACCTTAACTGATTTCCTGAAGTATGTGGTCCCCAGCCAGGCACTGTTCCAACAAACTCCAAAGCTCATACATGCCCTACGAGGGTGAGAAAGCTCCTGTGACAGAGGCAGGCTCTTCATAGAGGGCTTGTCAGGACTCCTACTGTGACACACAACCCCCACCCCCATCTTGCAGGGAAGAGAAGCTGAAATGCAAAGAATCTCGCAGTCCCACCAAGCCTCATAGGCAGCATGGGGTAGAAAACTGCCACCGTGCAGTCTGCACAGCTGCCTTCTGTTATCGGGAGGGGCAGCCAAGGCTCCAAAACCCGGTAATACACCCCTTCAGAGCCCAATGCTCACAGCCCAGCCTGAGGCGGCGCCAGAGGCCCTGTCCCACCTTGCTCTTCTCCTGCTGGAACTCTATCTGGATGTTGGTTAGCTTGGCCCGTAGCTCTTCGTTGGCCGTCTGCACAGAGTCCGGCTCCGTCTCGGGCTTCTCACCCTTACTGCGTCCCTTTTTAGACATGTTTCCTCTTGGAGCGTGACACTGGGGTCCTGGGGTTCACGCCCACCCAGCAGCAAGCACAGCTACCGGCTCTGCTGTGCTAACCAGTCGTGCAGGGCTCCGCTTGTCCTCTGTGCACACCATCACTTGCGATTCTGTGTGGGGAGAAGAGAGACCGAGTAAGCACATAGGCAGTGTGCCGCTAGCCTGGGCACCCACGGCTGAACACTTGCCTCGCCCTCAGAAGGCCTACCGCTCACAAGCCGGGTCTGTCATAGCTCACTGAAGCCACCTCAGAATCACCTGGAAGATGTTATGCATCTTACCTTCCTTGTTATGTTACAACCATGTTATGTCCTACCATCCTTGAGACCTAACCACCCCCATCCTGCGGAGCCCAAAATAAGACACACTCCAGTCAGGGCAAGACCATTACCCACCCCATGGCCACCTTACTGAAGTGATGCCCAGTGGGAATGGGGATGATACATTAACAGGGAAGGATGCAGGAAAGAAAGGAAGGTAGAGAAGTAAGTAAATTTATAGTTTCTGGTCCAACCATAAGAAACTTGGAGTCCAAAGATAGATAAACATAATGAAAATAAGAAAATCTCTTAGATCTGTCAGAGAACTGGGGTCACAGGACAAAGCGATGCCCAACAGGCAGCCAGAAGCAGAGGCCAGCTCCTGAGTACTAGTCCCAGGTCCTTCGCACCAGGCCCAGCTCCCAAGAAAACGAAATAAGGCATACTGAAGGAAAAGCATCAAAGAGTAGACCCAGACTTAGACTTTAAAGAAATTCTGAATTCCATGCAAAGGGCCTCGGAGGAAAAAGTAGACAGCATGTAAGAGCAGATGGCCTGAAAGCAAAGATGAAAAATGCAGGAAAGGATAAAGAGATGTCAGAGAGGCTGTGAGCTCACAGATACTAACATAGTATGTTCACACTGAGACGTGATGGAAAACACAAATGGCAAAGGGATCCAGAGCGTCCAAGGACTCGGGGCAGTTTCTCCAGCAGAACACCGAGTGTATTAGCTGTGTCAATAGCTGTGATCAAACACACCAAAAGCAACTGTAGGAGGAAAGACTTTATTTCACCTTGTAGTTCTACATCACGCTCCATTGCTGAAGGAAGTCAGGGCAGGAACTCAAGAAGGGCAAAGACCTGGAGGCAGGAGCTGCAGGAGCTGATGCAGAGATCATGGAGTAACCCACACTTAATGGTTTACTCATAGGCTAATCTGGTGGGAACATTGTCTCAAGTGTGGTTTCCTCTTCTCAAAGGACTCTAGCTTGTGTCATGTTGACATAAAAATAGCCAACACAGGGGGAACAGAAGAGAGAGAAGAAGACCTCAGGACTATCTTGAGTCTTGTGTAGTCTCCACAAACTAATATCAGACACCAAACCGTCGATCCGCAAACTGATTTTGCACTTGAGTATATCATATGCAAGCTGCAGGTGATCAGAGATGAAGGGGAAAAATCCTAAAACAAGACTGGGGGAAATATCTTGGTTACAGAGAAACAGGATAAAAATTCAGCAAACATCTCTGAAAAAAAAATGACGTGAAGAAGAACAGAGCAAAATAGTGTTTAGAGGGGAAAGTCAACCTGTCATTCAGTCACCTGAAAAAATTGCACCTCAGAGATGGAAAACCAGAGAATCAGACACCATGCAGACTTCCCCTTTAAGATGGCTAATAAGAGAAATGCTTCAAAGAGAGGTACAATGATGTGGATGGAAGTCAAAAACTCCGTCTAGCTGGACATGCAGTGCACACCTTTAACTCCAGCATCGGGAGGCAGAGGCCGGTGGATTGTCTGAGTTTCAGGCCAGTGTGGGCTATGCAGGTGTCCCAAACCAGTCAAGACTACATAGTGAGACCATCTACAAAACCAAAAATAGACCTCAGAATAAAGAGGAGAATGAACAAGTGAAAAACATAAAATAATTTAAAACTATAATCTACACAAAAAGGAAAGCGCTCTAGAAAAGGATAAGTAAACACAATAAAAACTTGCACTTTCTATTCTTAACTGATCTGACAATCTGACAGTTTGCTGGAGCTGAAAGAATGGTGTGCTGGGTGCTTGTAGCTCAGGGACAGGCTGCTGGGGGCTGGGTGCCAAGGAGTGAAAGGAGGGGAGCATTCAGAGGAAGCCAGACCCACAACATACTATAGAGCAATGGTTCTCAACCTTCCTAATGACGCAACACAGTTCCTCATATGGTGATGATCCCCCAAAATATAAAATTATTTTTGTTGCTACTTCATAACTGTAATTTTGCTACTGTTATGAATTATAATGTAAATATCTGTGTTTTCAAATAGGTTTAGGAGACCCCTGTGAAAGGGTCGTTCCCCACAAAGGGGTCACGACCCAAAGGTTGAGAATCTTTGCTATAGATTAAGCAGAACCCATGCCAATATTATGTTCATCCAAACTGGACTCTGACCACTTATAACTATATGTTGCAAACTAAGTAGGGCTCCTGGTTTTGAGAGAGGAACAACTTGAGCTCCTCTTAAAAGAAAATGGAAACATTAAGCTACAAAAGGCAGAAAGACAGTAGAAGACAAAATCAGTTACAAAGAAGACTCAACAACAGGGACAATAACTAACTGGGCAGACACAGGGTAGCTACATCAGCTCTATCTAATTCAACCAGCCAGAGCACGGTGGCCTCAATAGCGGGCCACTGCCCCATGTTAGGGTCCTGCAACTGCATGTGGCTGCCAGGGGGAAACTGACAACAATAATATCTGAATGTATAAGACCCCAAACTTAATTCAAAATCAAACCATAATCCCATGGCGTCACTGCAGCCTTGGCTCTGAACACAGCACTTTGCACTACGAACGCCAGCTGAGGCTGCAGGGAGCACCTGGCTGCATCTCACGGCTGCTGTATTTTCTGCTCGTCTCGAAGCAGAGCGGTTCCAATAAGAAAAACAGAAGCTTTTTAAATATTCCTACCCTCAGTGTTCAGCATGTGAATATCAAATTAGTGTATCTTTGTTGTGTCGTGTTAGAATGTTTGATTTTTAAAAACACTATTTGGGGCCCCCAAAATGACCAGGTGGGCAAGGGTGTTTGCTGCGTACAGTCCCTGGCACCTTCACAGTGAACGGCAAGAAGAGACTCCTGCAAGTTGCCCTCTGACTTCCTCGCATGTGTACACACATATGATAAATAAACATAGTAAAAATGTCTTAATTGCTGTTTGTGTTGCAAGCGTATTTCATAAAGAATCATTCAGTGAATTCTGACTCACAAATAGGATAGAATTTACAACAACTTCTGAAATGGACCTAAACCCGCTTTTGTTATTCGGTATGGTATGTAATTATGCAAAGTGATATTTGAAGCTTTCAGGATTATGAAATTAAAATTTTAGTCAGCTCTGAAATGTATCAGAGGTGTCCTATTCCATCGCTCAGTGTCAAATATTCAGCTGATATTTAATTCCTTGAGTAAAAACAAAAGGCCCATCCTGATCATTAATATGAAAATTTGTTTTCATCTTTAATAAATGTCAAAATTATACGAACAGGAAAGAATTGTTTTAATGTAAATTTCTTACGAATTACTATCAGGAAGTGTTTGACTTTGGGGTTTGTTCTATATACCTTTAAACCCGGGGTCCTGTGAAAATTACTCCAGCAAAAAGGGATCACAAGGAGAAAAAGCTTTAGACGCACTCACAAAAACAGAAACTGGCAGAGTGGATCCAAAATAAGACCCAATCATTTGCTGTCTACAAGACAGCGCTGGATTGTAAAACCCCTGTGCACAAAGCCCGTCAACACAGACACTGTCCGCTGGGGATGCACCTGCATGAAGACAATGCTGGCAGGTCTCCCTCCCACTCAATGCCCCCCCCCCAGCATCACTTGTCCCTCAATCTCATGGACAATAACAGTCAGCAAGCTCTCTGTAAGGCTCAAACAACTGTTCCATTCCCATGTAAAAGGAAGCACTCCACATCATACTCTGAAGGAAGAGGGAGGGAGGGAGGAAGGGGTGGGGGAGGGGGAGGGGAGGGAGGGACGGACGGATGGAGAAATGGAGGGACGGAGGGACGGGGGGGGGGGGAGGCAGGCAGGCCATAGAGGGATGTGGCCAATGCTGAGCCCAGTTGTTTAGAAGAAGCAAATTACAGGGCTGGTCATGACTCAACCCTCCTGCATAAGGGACACAGAGTCCATGACTCCCTGAAGCTTTCCGCCTTCCACAGCTTCACTTTCCAGACATGAGGTTGGTGCTCAAGTGGGTGATACACCCTGGGGCAGGGGAGTCTTTATTGATTTTCTAGCAGGCCAGAGGCTTCTGGGGCCAGGGATGCCAGCCCTCTTGTGCTCTCTTGCCTGCAAAAGGTGCTCCTAGGGTATGCCTTGTAAATCCCCAATGTGGTTCCCTACACTTCTTAGATTCCTTTGCAGAAGTGGGTCATGTGGCCATACTTGGGCCAAAGACGTGTGAGCGATGATGGACTGAGGGATTTAAAGCCTTTGACTATTCTTCCAGGCTAGCAAAGCCTTACACTATTTGCTGAGGTGGTGACAGGGCCACGGGGACATCTGGGCTCCTGAATTCAGGAGGCAGGCCCAGGCAGCCTGCAGCAGAGGACTCTGAATGAACCCGAACTGTCCTTTCGAGCTTCCTTCATTGGCACAGCTAGGCTATGCCATGCCTAGCAAGCTCTCCCTGACCTGCCTGCCTTCTCCTTATCATCTACCCATCTTCAGAATTCAACTCAGATGTCACCTGCCTAGTGCACATTTACCAATGCCACCCCACCCCTTGCAGGGCGGGAAGTGTCTCCTGTCCACCCACGCTCCTGTTTTCCTTTCCACAGCTCTGACATGCTCACACTGTTGGTACCAACCTGTCTCTACCACTAGACAAGATGCTCTGGGGCAGCCAGTACTGTGCTGGTCCTGACTTCGCAGGGGCTGGCTCAGGGCTTGCCCAGACTCGAGGAGACCGGTGCCTGGGAAACAGGTGCATTTCTTGTCATCCATGTGTCACACCGATGACCTCCTTCATGAACACACGTTATGGCTGGAGCACAGGCCCCAGACAGGTAGACCTGTGTCTGGACTCCGGGTGGCCAGGCCACATCACTCAACCTTCTTCATTATGAAG